GGCCTGGAGTGACACCAGCCTCCCCTGGCTTTGCTCTCATCCAGGCTCCCTGTTTACACACCCTTGCCCACTCATTTCCCCAAAGCCTCATCAGCATCTGGCTCAGCATTACTGGAGTATTGGTCAACAAACATAGGACACAACTGTAACCAAAGACCCAGATGGTTTTGTAAACATTAAGTATAATGACAAACAACAGGGAAAAAAAATTCTCTATTTTTTGTGAACTGTAAAACAAAATATTGCCCTCAACAAACTGTTTGAAACCAGCAAGTCTTTTGTAAGAGATCCAGTGAAATTTACTCCATCAGTCATGACAAAGTCCTTACCAAACTGGAATGTTGAAGAGAGTTATTATTTAATCAACGCTGAATTATTTCACACTAATATTACTAGCAGAATGGTAATTGGTGCAAATTAGGGGGTGGAGTCCATTTAACAGTCTTCCAAGACTGAAGATTGCACATTTTGGAAGCTGGAAGCTTTCACCTTTTTCCTGAAATGAAGTTGGGAATTAACTCCTGGTCTATACCCACAGCATCCAATCCTGAGAGGCACTCAGGAGCTTCAGACCTGCAAGCAGTCCACACTGCTGAGAAGCTGACTTGCCTTGAATCACCTGGGGGAGCTGGAGAGTGACAAGCCAAATGGACAATGAACGGGGTCTGCAGACCTACACCAGGAGCCAGTTACCAAAGGGCTTCCCTTTCAGAGCCAACTGAAGCAAAGAGACCAGCAGGGCAACTGGAGAAACAGCTAATGGTGGATCTTCCACCACAAGAACCTCTTGTTGCATTTTCAAAAATCCCCTCCTGACCAACAAAGCAGAAAACACCAAAACAATCCCAGCCTGTGTTCCCCTAACACCCCTGGAAGCTGGGAGGAGATCTGCACCATCGGGTGTCATTCAGCACCTGTTGCAGGTGACCTGCTCCCACCTCTAGCTGCTGCAATCAGTTCATGTACAGGCAGCCACAGAGCCATTCCCTGCCTGGAAAGGATTTCCAGGCTGGATTCTGGGATGACCACAACCCCTGCACATGTGGTGCTGCTGCCTCACTGCTCCTGGGGTGCAGCTGGAGCTGGGTTCAGCTCCTGCCTCCTGCTCCATCAGGGAGGAGAAGTTCTCTGCCCATCTTCTGCCTGGCACACAGGGACTGGCTGTGCCACAAAACAGTGAAAACGTGACTTCTTCCCTCCCAGCTCTCACCTGGGTAAGCAGGGTGGGAGCCCCAGTCTTCTGGGAACTGCTCTCCCATCTGCAGGGTACAGCATCCAGCAGGGAAGGGAGAAGTTGCCTCATGCCCCACGCTTGGGAATGTGTTGCTGGCCACGACTTGGGCCTACAGGTCTTTGCAGATTAATAGATGGTATCTTAGAATGTACCTGACAATAAAAGGGGAGGGAATTCCAACCCCAGACTGCCAAATGCTGCGCCCACTCACAGCCAAAACAGACCACAGCTGAACTGCAAGAGAAGGGCAGAAGCTGAGGGGCTGGTTCTTGCCAGTAACAAAGAAGAAGAAGAAGACACCGTGTCTGGAAGCAGCTGCCTGTCATGTCATGATGCATTTCTATCGCAGACGAGCTGCACCACCACAAAGCCCTGGATGCTGGACCTCCCATGCTCAGACTGCTGCGTGCCAGGGCCAAAACCAAACGAGTTTCACTGCTGATGAGATAAGCAAGTGATTTCAGACCATTAGTTGAGGGGAAAATCTAGGACCCGGATTCTGCAGTAAATGGCTCCTCACCTGGCTCTGTTCTGGAAAGGAATGTGCTCGTAAGAAGAAATGAAAAGGCTGCAACCACAAAGCCAAGTGTGAGGATAAAACACCCCAGTGCGTGGCATCAAAAATCCTGTCTCTAGCATGCTGCCACAGGAAACCAGGGAAAAACCTGGGCAGGAGTTCACACAAAACTGAAATAGTACAATTCTGCTTGCAAGACGTTTGTGTCGTTCTCATTTGCTAGGAGAGACGCTCAGAGCGTGGCTGGTCAGACAGAAGGGAACCCAAACTTTGTCTTTTGCTGTGCTGCTGCATTCAGAGAACTCCCTGGTAGGGTTCCACAGAGTGAACCTTCTTCATTTTCTTTGATCAAATTGTATTACACTTGTTTCTCATCAGATTACATAAATTAGCTGAGAGTGAATGGATTCAATTACAGCCCAGATTCCAGACCACTTAAGAAGTTACTGCCTAACACATTCCTTTCATTTAATAAACTAGAACCAAATGAGGATTAAATCCTATAAATAATAGTCCCTCGATAGGGCAGTGCAATAAAATGGCAAAAATACTCAGAGGAACCACGTAGATCAAATGCAAGAGCCTCTGACATTACCCACCGGATTTAAGGTATGAACATCACACAAACTTAATTGTACAAGTATTTTTACTTTGTATTATGAACAGGAATGTGACTCAGAGGGTACTTAAGACCAAGTTTAGTATCTTCTGACAGCCTCAGACAGCTAAGGAAAAAAGATGTTGCAGCAAAGTATGGATTTCCATATTTAAAAGACACTAACACAGGATACTAACTTCTCCCACAACAATCCAAGATTTATAGTCTCCCAAGGGACTAAGAGTAAATAGGACCAAGAGTAAAGGCTTTGTAAAGATCTGAGAGAGGCTGTTTCCCAAACTGACTTGTTCTTTCAGAAGGCAGCATTTTGGAACAACTGAAACTGATCTGATGACTTTCAGGAACACCCATTTTTGACAGAAACACTCAGTCTTTCAGCCTGAGAAGCAGACATGCCATCTGTAGTTGGACGTTTTTATACCTGCAAGTGTCCATGGAAGAAAACTTAAAAGACTTGGATTCAGATCTCAGCAAGAGATTCAAAGCTGAAGGCACAGAATTACATACACAGTCAAGCTATCCTCACTCATAAACAGAATTCTTGACACATTTTGAAGAAGCTGGGTAGAAAACAAAGAGGCAGAGGAATGACACTGCCAGGCTGAGGGATGAGCCTTACATGTTACCTGTAAGAAAATTCTTTTTAGATTCCTCAAGAATGGCTGAAGTCAGTTTTGATGACAGCCCGTCCAATTACACCTTGTCCAATCCTAAAGCTGTATTTAACCTGGCATGCAACTACAAAAGTAAGATCCAGCAGGTGAAGTTAAAATTTAAAACTACAACCAAGTAACAGGATGCTTTTAACTACTGAAAAAGCAGGTTTTCAGGGGCCATGGTAAGATCTCTGCCAATGAGTCTTTAAATCAGCACAGTTCCAGCCAAGGCTTTCTTCCTAGACTTCCATCTGTCCAATAACATTCTGTTGCTCTGAAGACACCTGATGCAAAATGGGCCCTACCATAAAAGTGAGGGTTTGTTGTTTAGCCAGTGAGCAATTTAGTAAGACTTCAGTCTACTTAGGTACAGTTACATATATATTTATATCTATGTAGACAAACCTCATTATCTACAGGATATACATTCATGCATATATATAAATAAAATGAATGAGCTTTCCTGGCACCAGGCATCCTCTATTTGCACTCTCCTTTATGTTCAGCTGGAAAGTTCAAATGCAGTATTGAATGTATTACATTACTCCATGAAGAAGTACTGTTCTATCTCACCCCTCCCTTTGTTTTTTTAACAAAAAGGTGAAATGGAATATCACCTGATTCTACCACTAGAAGGAATGAACATCCTGAGATGCCCATGAGGTTTGCAGTGTATGCTAGTTTTGACACATGGAAAGGAACATGAAATGAGACTTTTTTCAACAAAGAATAACCAGGACTAAGCAGAGCTACTGGGTAGAGGTGACATTTCTTATTGGATATGACAACATTTTAAAAGGCTTATTTGTGAGTCACTAGTAAAATCCTACCACGTAGGAAAGACATGATACACAAAGGAGACACACTGTTGCGTTTGCTCCTGTTCTTCATTCAGTCATAAGCAGCATCTGCTCGTCGCTGTGAATCAGAAGTGCAAAACCGGGTTTTTCCTCCCCACCTCAGGTGGTGCTGAGGGATTTCAGTCTCTCTGCCTCATCACTGACATCTGCTGTCCCACGAACGAATAACACAAAACCCTCCCCAGCCCACCTGTCCCCTCCAACCTCCCATTCCTGTTTTCTTGCTCTGTAACACAGACCAGAATTCGACTGAGCAGAACTTGCACTGATTTGGATGACTCTCAGAAAACGGAGAAAATGCATTAACTCCTTTTTTTGCCTGGGACAGTAACTGCATCTGACACTGCAGCTAAGCAGCTGCCAGTCCTTACCTTCTGACACTGGGAAGAGAAGACTCCCATAAGGATTCACACCCCCAACACACTGACATGCTTATCACCTCTTTCCCCAGGGTGTCAACAGCAGCTGGCTGCTGTGTCACACCCTGCTTTGGTGCTAAGCATGGTCCCAGGCCTCCCTGAGGCTGGAAGCTTTGCCACACCAACCCTCTTCAACTTGGCCTTCACCAACAGAAGTGCACAACCATCTCACATGGGTGTATCTTTGGGCACTCAGGCACAGAAAGATTGTAAGAAAAACACACTCTTCAGTGGAAAAGCTCATTGATGATGATTCTCACTAGTCACATGTAACACACTACCTTCTTTGTCCCCAGAAGACCTCTGCAGGTGGCCCACTTTCAAAGCAAAGCATCCTCCCACAGACTCTCTGGAGAACAGGCAAAACTAGAGATGTCCTGGCATTTGCTGACTGTAGCTATGTGACCTGTGGCATCTCCAGAAGTGTCCTCTTACTGATCAAAGCATGTCACTATTTACAGACTCCCTCAGGGTAACGAGAGATGCCAAGACAGGAGATGGTTACAGTGTCCTGGAATAAACAAATCTGAAAGGAACCCTTCTTAAAACCATTCTTCACAGCTGATTATGATTGACAGTGTTTGCCTTTCGGTGAAAAACACTTCCACAAACTATCTTCATACTCAGAAATACCTGAATCTTTCCCTATGCCTTGCCTAGATGCAAAGAAACAACCACAAAGCCCAGATCAACACCTCAGATCAGTGCTCCGAGGGAGAAGTCTCCTCTTCCCACTGAAGTAGGCTTCAAAGTCATCTGTTGTCAGCCTGTGTGCGTAGTCGATGTACCCGGACACCTCCTGGCGCTGGGAATTCCGGTCCCGAATGAAGATGATGGACTGGAAGACACAAAGGCAGCCACAAATGAAGAACAGAGAGACACTCGTGCAGAGATTTCTGTATAAAAGCATCCTTCAAGAGTACATACACATCTTAAACTCCACCAGGGCCTGGCTTCTGATAGGATTTTACCCACTCCTAGGAAGGCACAATTCCTACCACAAGCTGGGCAGCGCTGCAGCCAATGTTAGAGCACATGCAGAGTCACACAAAGTGCCCTCATGTATCCCCCATGTCTCCAAGGGGTTTTCCCACATGTCCCAGGCCAAACCTGCCAGCACCAGGCACATAATCCTAAAGCAGTCCAATGCCATGGGACACCTATTTTTAAGTAAGGGCAGGAGGCTTTTTGGCTATTCTACAATATTACTGTCTAGGCACTAATTATTAGACCAAAGTAGGAAGGGTGAGGGTATTATTGTTTTGGCCATGCACCTCTACAGCCAAAGCCAAACTTATTCAACAATACTCACAGCAGATTTTTAGCTTTTCAGAAAAATGAGACACTGGAAACTGGTTACTGTACTAGTCTGTCTCTGCCCCTTTGCTACCACCAGAGAACAGAGTGGGCTTGGCCAGCCCTCTCTTGCCAGACAAGCCCTGTGCAGTTTCATTCCTAACAGCTAATGAGTTCCAGAGCAAAAATCTGATAATTTGAATACAAGCAAACAACAGCAAAACAAAATCTTAGTGCTTAGAAATACAGCTGACTAAAGCAGCAGGGTGGCTACCAGTAGGAGAGTAAACTGTCCATTTCAGTGGTGCATCTCCATGTGTCAGAGCTGAGCTGAGGGGTGGCACGGAGGCACCTGGGGGACAGGGACAGGTTACTCTCTTCCTTAGGGCTGTAAAACTTAGAATAACATCTCTGCTGCTGCTGACATGCACATCACAGACAAGAGTGCTGAGGGGATGATGGTTTTCTGTACCACTGTTGCTGGAAAACCCCACTTCCCATTTATTCTCTACTCCTTCTCTGTTCCTTTACCTTTTATTTGCATCATCTCCCAACAGAACAGAGAACAGGCTGGTAGAAGGCAATTCTTTTTCACACACCACCACAACACAAAAAGCAAAAAGAGCTGGTAGGATGAGTGTGAACTGGCAAGACAGAAGGGTCCTTGCATCCTGTGATCCACAGAAGGAAAATGAAATGCTGAGTGTAGATGCTACTAGGTAGGTGAGGTACAACAGCATTTGTTAGCTGTGCACGTTTGTTTTCACTCAACTGAAATCAAGTGGTATTTCTTATTTAAATGTGGGGGAAATGGAAACAATACTACATGGAACTCTTGCAACAAACTTTTTCTTACTGTCACAGCAGCAGGTTTCTAGAGTGCTGTGGTTCATCTTGCAAGCCTTCGTTACACTTGAGACACGTTTCCTTTCCAATTTCACATTTAAATTGCATTAAAATGCCTTGCTCATTTTGCTATTTTGGACCATCAACACTGTGGATTGAAGGAACCAGGGCTGACTTCCAAGGCTCCTCTAGTACAATTAATCTCCTAAATCAACATGGAACTGCAGGCAAGCATGGACACTTCCATCCAAACTGCTTTACAAACCCTAAGAGAGCAACCAGAATATCTAAACAAAAATGTTCTATGTTCAAGGTACATTTTTGAGGCCTTCTCCTCAAAACTAAAGGCCTTTGATCCTTCTCATCTGTCAACACTGTTTCTCTCCTTTCCTCATCCACAATTCATTTCTAACCACCTATAAGAATTCATTCATTACACTATGAATCAGCTTCAATTTTCTGCAGATATTCTAAACTTTTTAATTCTGTCACACCTTTCCTCCCCCTAAGAAGACTTGGACAGATTTTTCTCCAAAATGATAAAGCTCCTGACTGAAAAGTAACTGAAAGAGAGAATAAAAATACCACAGACCCCCAGAAACTGGAAAATCTTCTCCTAAAAGTCTCTTCATTACTCTTCTGATCAGCCTCTGACACAACAAATCCATTAAGCACAGAGTTTGTGCTGTGCAACCATCTGCAAGTTCTCAAGAACTTCTTATATGCTGAGAGGTGGGAAAGCCTTAATTTAAGATAGGGCTTGAAAGGTAGATTTACACATAGCTTTTGGGCCTAACAACTGAACCTACTTACAACTGGGGTAAAGTGACCTCTAATTATTTAATTTAGAGCAATTTAGAATAGAAGGGAAACAGAACAGTTCACTTGGAAGGGATCTACAAGGATCATCTAGCAACACAGAGTTCCTTTTCCCTCTTTTTTGGTCAGTGCAAGAGTGGAGATGCAGCATTGAAGTGGATAAATATAAATCTCTTCATATATTTACAATTATGTATTTATTATCTTTTCATAGAAACATAAAACTTTCCATGGGGGAGAGGCTGAGAGGATAAAGTTCAAGATGAGGAAACTGCCCTGTGGAATAGAACCAGATCCTGCATTCCCCTGCTTATCTTTCTTGCTGCCATCTCCTGTTCATCCAACCAACCCTCCCCAGCCAAGGAGGGGAATCAGGAAGAGGACAGAAGCCCTGAGGGTTGCAATATATAAATGGATTTAATGAAATAACCAAACTCATACAAGCACCACACCAAGTTTGTAAGCTTATACTCAGCCCAGTCCTTGGGAGCAGCAGGAGGAGAGGAAGGAGCCCCAGGAGACTGCCCCCCTGCACAGCTCTCCTCTCTAATGAGGGTGACAGGGACATCCCTGTCACCAGGGGGGCACCTGCCCAAACTGCAGCTCCCTGCCAACTCTGCTGGCCTGCCTGGGAATCCAGCCCAGGGAAACTGGGACCATTTGTGAACTGGTTGTAAGGAAAAAAAACAACCACCACCTGCCAGTGATTCACTCCTATATATGTTATTTCATGTGCTGAAACGTTTCCTACCATTGGTTAGGATTGCCAACAAAACCTTAGCAGGGACACCTAAATGCCAGGACGTGCCCATCATCAGGGGGATATTGATGTGCATCATGAAACAGGCTCAAACACCCACCAAAGACAGAAGAGCTGTTTCCACTGACACCAGCAAGCACTGATGGGACTTGCCAGGTTGGAAGAGAATTTGTTCCCATTTTTTTCCTATTTTGTGCTCTGGTTTGGTTTGGTGGTTTTTTTGGTAGCGAGGGAAGGGCCCATGGGGAGGCTCCTGTAAGAAACTGAGAAGCTTCCCCTGATCCAAAACCAGCCAGAGATCCATTAGAGGGATAATAGATGCACCTCTGTGATTAACAAATGAAGGAACTGAGGTAAGAGCTGAGCAGAGTGAGCAGGAGAAGGAGCTGAGCTGGAGAGGCAGAGCGATGCTGTGGCCGGAGGATTTGCTGCCTGTGGACTCTGATTGTGCAGCTTTGGGAGAGCCCGGGCCAGGGGAGTTTGTTCCCAAAGCAGCTGTGACTCTGTGGGAAGCCCAGGCTGGAGCAGCTCTGGTCCTGGTGGGAAGCACTGATGGCAGAGAGGTTCGTGAGAGACTGTCTCCCATGGGAGGGACCCTGTGGGGAAGCAGGGAGAGACTGTGAGGAATGTGAGGAAACCTTTTCTTCCTGAGGAGGAAGGAGCAGCAGGAACCACCAGCCTGTGAACTGACTCTAAACTCCATCCCCATCCCCCTGTGCCGCTGGGGATGAAGGAGGGAGAGAAATGGGGAACAAAGTGATTTGGGCCTAGGAAGAAGGGAGGGGTGGGGTAACATATGCAAGCCCTGCTCTGTGTGTGTCTGTGTCCTGGGTGTGTTTGATTAGTGTGAAATTGTTATTTTTTCCCCAAGTTGAGTCTGTTTTGCCTGGGACCTTAATTGGTGAAGAGCCCTCCTTGTCCTTTGTCTCAACCCAGGAGCTTTGTCCTCCTCATCCCAGAGTGTGTATGTGGGGGGGAAGCTGAGTGAGCAGCCATGGGGCTGGTCCTTTTGTTGTTGTGTTGGGCCCCAAAGCACCACATTTTGTTAACAGTGCCAGAAAGAATGACATTCCTCACATTAAGATCTGGCTCTTTGAAATATTCCACACCTGAAGGATCATTTTTCTCTGGTTAGAGCACTAGGGTCAAACCATGTGCCAAAAAAATTCACTCCTCCATGCCCTGCTCTTATCTTGGAGCAGCTGGTGTGGGTAGTCATGCTGCTTAGGAAAGAAAAGCTATTGATACAGATACAAGAAAGACCTCAAATTTGTGACCATTCCCACATACCAGAAGGCTGTCTTCGTTTTTTCATAAGGTGATGTTGCACATGAGCTCTCCAGAGCTCAGACCACTTTTTCCCTGCCAGCAAAGTGTACAGGCTGCTAACAGTGTTTGTAAGACCTGCTAACATCCCTGGGAGGAGGAAGAACAACAGGTACTTTTTAAGGATTAAAAGGCATGAGTGCCATTATCTTAGGAAAACTGTGGGCTCTTTTGAAACCCTTGCTTTTCCTGTTACCCTTAGAGCAGACCATTCCTACCTTGAAAGGAAACCTTTTAACAGGCTTTTCCTTGGGCACCTCCTCAGCACAGTCTGTGAGCAGGTCCAACACACTAATTACAGCTGGTTTTTAACTGAGTCCAAGGGCTTTGCTGGACTGGGACCTGCAAGATGGCAAGTTAGCTGGAACATGCCATAATTCAGCAGCCTGGCTGAGGAGAAGAGAGTATGGGAACAGAGAGAGACCAGCCCTGCTGTCTGGTGAACTTGTCTCGAAATGTGAGCCCTTTCATAACATGCCAAACTGAGAGGAGATGATGGGAAGGTAAAGACAGACAATATTTAGGAGTCAATTACTAATACATTGAGGAAGCTCTTTTGTGGACAGTATCACAGGTGGGGACCCAGGAGAATGAGCACAATTAGGCTGGAAGGGACAGGCGTAAAACACATTACCAGTTGAAATATATTTTTAATGAGCAGCAATTTATTTTTGTTGCGTAGTGTTTGGCCTTATTTGCCACCTGCAGATCACATTACATCTAATAGAAATACCAGTGGGCAACAGTAGTCAGAGAAAGGACCTCACCTCTGTGTCTTTAAACCAGCTGCT